AAAAATGGGGTGGTGGGGGGGGGGGGGGGGGGTGGAGGTTCTTTATGCACTAGAAATGTCTTCACATGTTTAATTTTTCTGTGGCTCCTAAACTTGGCTCACCTTCTTGTTTTGGCATTGGTTTCATTTAAAATTCTCCTTTAAGACTGCATCGTCTTTAATCACCTCCATTTAGGTGACAAGTATATTGTTGGAATGTGGATAGTCATGGAAATTCTCTCTCTCTCCCTGTGTGTGTGTGTGTATTAGTAACAGTTCAAGGGAATAGAGTTAAGTAAGCGTCTCACTTTATCATAAAGCCTATTGGATGTGTGTGTGTGTGTGTTCTAAAGACCTCTCTTGATTTGCAGTTTGGTTTAAATAAATATGTTTAAAGAGCGTCAAACTGACAAGGCAATAGGGACTAAGAGATACGTACATCGAATTACTGGCAAATAGCTCCTTATTGGATGAGCGAGATTTGCTGGCTTACCTTACTTCCAGTTCCTTGGTGGCACGATGTCATAAAATTCTTCCAATTATTCTCTAAAGAAATTCGGCTGTAAACTGGTAGGAAGTGAGAATATGGCAGTATATCTCTCCTCTATTGAGTTTGCCTCTTCACGGATATTAATATTGAATCAGTGGGCCGTGCCTATTGTACTGTTTTCTCATATATCTTTGACCAACTCCTATATTGACTGATCGCCGCTGAAAAACGCAGAGAATAGTAGGTAGAGGTGGAGGGGTTTGAGGGGGGGGGGTGGTATAGTGCAGTGAGGTCATAAATTATGCAACGGCCGCCGCGTCCGTCATTTGACGATTAGTTTGATTGGGCCCTAAAGCCTCCCTCATTGGTGAGGTATAGGCTAGCCATCGGAAGGAACTCTGGGGTCATTTCTGCACTGCTGCTGCTGCTGCCGCCTAAGGCCAAGGTTACTTCAACTAGTAGCAGTTTTGGGGTTCAGTGCACGTCACAAATCCATACGAATACGTTCATTTACCCCTCTCTCTCTCTCTGTCTCTCTCGGGGTGTATTAAACTGTCGTTTTTCTGCTCCTTAGCCATCATTTAAGTTCACTCTCTACACACCCCCTCTGAAGGAATCTCCTACGCTGTCTCCCTTGTATTTTTTTTTGTTCTACTTCATTGATTAAACGTTCTTGTTTCATTTGCCGTTCTCTTTCTTATTCAGGCGTCGTCAACCCCTCGTGTGTCTGGACCTGCGTCTCCTATTTCTCAGAACGGTGATAATAAGACGTGTATTAGCAATAACAACAGCGGTTCTGGTGTTACAATTCGCGTGAAACATGCAAGTTACTTTCTCCCTTTTCCTCTTATTTTCCCATCTTTTTATCCCATTTTTACGGGGTAATTATAATGCCTATGTGCTCAGTCTACTGGTAGTTGCCTAAGGAATGTGAGATGTCTATTGGTGTTTCCTTTTTTGTATTTCATCTCTCATCTCCTTTTCACCGAAGTAGCTTTGTTCGCTGTGCTTTTGATAGCTCCTTGCGAGAAAGATAACTTTCACCCACATTAAATCGCCTGTTTGTTCTGATTCACCGCACTTTGTGAAGGAATGTGGCTGCTCTAGTGATTACTATTTTTGTGTTAGTATCAATGGCAATGCAAAGTAAATAGATTTGACTGTTTATTTTCCAAAGTGGAATAACTTCTAAATTCTAGAAGAATAATCATATCTAACAAATTGCGTCCCCAGTAAGCATGAAACTGTGATCAATGTTTAAGCATAGGCTTCCAAGAGTGTTGCCTTAATTTGAATTCTCGAATCGTTGTTGTGGTTCTTTATAGATAAGTACTCATTCTACCAGTGGGCTTTGTACTTTTGCCACATTTCGTTGTCGAGACACCACGTTTCCGATTCAGCGTTTTATCCCATTACGTGAGCGTGTGTTCCCCCTTTTGGTTTGTCAAATTTGATGTGTGAGCAAAAGGGTAAATTCCTACTAATACACTCATTCACAAACAAGTGGGAGGGGGGGGGGGGTTAGAGGTGCTTTATATCCACTGCTTTTCAGATTGTTAGCAGTCGGGCTTTCTCGCCATGTATTATACGACGACCACGAATGACATGGATTTGCCGTTTCACCATACACACACACACACACACACACATTGCCTCTTTCACGACACGCCTCTAGTCTAATATACTTATTCCAACCCCATTTGTTATTGGAGTTTTGTGGAAGCTGGGAGAACTTACTCAATGTTAGTGCCTCTTCAGTCTTCCCACAATAGTGGAATGGTGAAATCTCAATCTCAAGTGAATAGTGTCTTGCGAAAACTGATATTTTACGCATCTATCAACTTGTTTGTCTTTTTCAACTTCAAGTAAATGCTTAAGGCTAAAATGGTCTACAAGTTGTATTTGAGCAGAGAATCAGCATCAACCTATCTCTTCTAGAGAATGGAAGTACTAGTCATCTGCCCCAGATCATTTCAATTAAGCAATACATTTTTTCCTCTGGGTAGCGTTGTTGGTTTTTCAATCACAAAATGTGTGTCCCTTTGGGTCTTTAAACCTCGACTTCCAAATTGTCTGACATGTGGTAGATCTGGCATTGTCTCTTTTAACGTCCATTGTTATGGCCCCCCCCCTCGTTTTCGCACCAATTCTCATTTGCATACTTCATGCAATTTAGTCTTTTTGTTTCCTTGCCTTACATAAACACATTTGAATCCAACAGTTGGTTGCCTTGGGTGTGTTTTAATGTTTCCTTCCATTTACATAAATGTGTGAGGCATTCCATTCTGGTCTTCCATAACCCCCCCCCTCCCCACTGCCCAAGTGGTTTGTCTTCAAGTTATATTCTCATGACTAGCAGAAAATGAACCGTTTCTCTTTATACCTTTTCTCAATTTTAATGATTTCGGATTATGAGTAAACGGTGATTCATTAATTCCTCCCCTTTAGAGACTGTGAGTGTCTAGTATGATGAGTTGAGCATTGGTCTTGGTGGTATTCAACAGTTGTGGCATTAACCTTTGGCGTGTGAATTCGAGGTGTGATTTTTTTCACCTCGTAGGCGGAGGGGGGGTGGGGTTGGGTGTTGTTTTTTATGTTTTCTGTGCGCACTAGTCCTTACGCGTACGCACTTCTAAGTCGACCCGCCCGCTCTCTCTCCAGGAATTAAAGTATGACGATTTCTTTGAAGTGATGCTGTGTAGTAAATGCTTGGGGGCTAAATATTCAACCTGATTGGAAAGCATTTAAAGCGAATTGAAGCTTCTCTTTCTTGTGTTTACTCAAAATTGTGGAATTTAGCGCAATAGTTATCCGTGAAGCAACACACAACAGTAATTAAAAGGGATGAACGGTATTGACGTGCAAAATATCATAGATTCAATCCAGAATGATACCGATCATGGTTCGCATTCAATTGAGCGTCAGTTGTGATTACTTTCTTTTTAATCTCTCTTTCTTTAAATGAACCTACAATGGGTCCGATTTACTACTCGTCAAATCGATGCCGGGCAACTTCATTTTCTTGGAACTGCGTATATTTTGAATATGCCATATATTTGCGTCCGAAAATTGTTAATCCACCAAAAAATGGGCTATTTTGAAGATGTTCCGAGAGGGGGTGGGGGGGGGGGGGGAGAGAGAGAGCTGAAATATTTTATTCTCAAATTGCAAACTTTCCATTATTTGTTCCTACTAATTTCATCGGGCATCGTTTTTATTATTTTTCATTTAAGTTATGATATCATGCCCCCAATTATTAAGCATTACATCTTAGTTGGGATTATAGAGCTCTCCCTTACGTCACATACATTTACGTCAGTTTTCTTTCCATTATTAGTGTTTTTTATTGGTTTAAGCGTTTTTAGTGGCATAATTTAATATTTCGTATCAAAAGGAAAATCTAAAATTTTTAATCCAACGTGCTGTCTAACTACGGAAGGTAAGTAACTTGTATTTACACACACACACACTTTCTACAACGTCGATGTCAGGAGCTCATTGCTCATTGGCACACACACGAGGGTGAGATGTAGAACCCTAACCCCCCCCCCCTTTAATTAGGTCACGAACTTCCCATCTGAGTGGCTTTGGGATGCCCTCTCTGGGAAAGCTTTTGCCTATACTTTGTATTTCATGATTAAGTGACCTCAATAATTGTTCATTTTATTGCCGATTCTCATGCAACTGATGAGTACTGAATGTATAGCTATTCTATTTTCGGCTCTTAACATTTATCTGAGTTTATTTCACTTGTCAATTCCACTCACCTCTGCCCTCCCCCTCTACTATCATTATGTACTGAATGCGGGCGACGCCCCCGTATGTATTATTCATACACGCTACTGCGTTACCTCATTGACAAGATTTGTGTGTTTGCATAACTAATTGGGTAAAGTGTTTCATTTTTTTCACGTCGATGAATAAAGAGACCATATAATCAGCAGGACCTTCCACAATGTCTCATAAATTGGTAAATAATGCCATCGTAGAACAAGTTAGATACTTGCTAGTAAGCATTAAAGTTTATTTATAACAAATGTCAGGCGTTTTGATAGTTATCATTAGCCCTTTAGTTGACTTCGGGCTTCACAGAGGGAAGGTTCATCAAAGTAGCAGAAAGTCGAGGGGTGGGGAACAGAAGAGCGATTCACAGATGTAAAAGAGGCGGACAGACACAGAGGCAGAGAAAAGGGTAAGATGAGTACTGTGAAAGCGGTCGAATATGACAAGCAGTCGTGGCATGGTATTTTGAAGTCAGACGACAACTGCCGGTTAATAGACTTTTTTGCCGTATGAGTAAACGTTGCCCGGGGTGCACCACGAGGAGGTAAGTCTATTCCACACCCCGTAAGCATTAAAGTAGGTTAATTTTAATCTCTAATGGGAAACCGCGACTTTATCTCTATCGTCTTCGTAAAGATAGTTTGACCATAAATGATTACCAATTATGCCTTAGGCCTTTCATAGTTCCTTGCACTTTGTGCCTGTTGAAGGTGTCTTATTGAGAATCTATGAAAGCACGAAGGATAGATAAATGGATCAGAGCAACCATACTGTTGTGGGGGTTGTAGTTTGCAGTATTTCGCTCCATGCTTGTCTACGGGGGTCACCAAGTTCGTTCCCATTGACTTGCGTGGTTGTTGACTCAACTTACTTGAGTTGTGTGCGCGTGAGTTATCATGAAAGTACTGTTGCTCAGGTATATGAATCTTTAATAATATGCTTTGTTTATATATATGCGGTATTATGATTTACTCTTGACAAGAGTAATTTGTGTTATCCCTTTGTTTCACCATGAGTAAAAGCACTAATGTCCTTAAAGGTTGGCTCAAGAGGGAAAATTGTAGGCTCTTGTCAAGTGCCTTAACAAGGAATTCGTTTAATCGGCGTCTGTGGGGTTCACATCATGGCAAGTTTCTACACCTCTTGGTTATACAGAATGGCATTTGGATAAAGCGTTCGGAAACTACTCGACCGTTTTTGTCAATTGATTCGTTCTATTTCTGAGTTAAACTATACAGACATTATGTAGACTGAATTGCTTACGAGAGCACTCGTGCTAGTAATGTGTAGGGGGGGGGGGGGGGGGGGGGGGGGAGNGAGAGCCTGTGGATAGGGAGGGGGTGCCCGAGCTTTTCCATCCGGTGTGCTTGCCATTGACCAGGGTTTGAATATTGTACCTAGTCATAGCTAATCGTAGATTTTTAAATTGTTATTATCTCAGTCTCTCTGGTTAAGGTGTCCCTACTCGACGTTTTATCAATTCACTACTTCATGCCACTTTTATCCCCCCCCCCTCCAATCTCCCACTTTGTATTCCCATTCGTCTCTATGTGTCTTCGTGGTTATTTCCTTAAAGCTAGAGTTTATTCTTGGGGGGGGGGGGGGGCTATAATCCGAAATATTATGGAAAACTTTCGCCTAACGAGTGCTCAGAAAAATTTCTCCCCAGAAAGGATTTGAAATTTCGTCAATTCATTCCGAATGTTTGGAAGTTGTTTTTTTTTTGAACGCCGTCTGCCTCAAATCTCTTGAACCTATGCAGGCCTTGAATCCATCTTGGGTTTTAGGTTTTTTCATAGCTTGCTTGAATCGATCACACCCTAGAGCAGAGTCATTGGTTAAGTTTTGCCTTTTTAGAATTTCCCTGAGAAATAGGCAAATTCCCATCTTAAGGAGACGAGATGTAAACACTCTTGCTTATTCTAAGTCCTTATGCGTTGTGAGTCACTGAAATGCAACTTTGTTTTTTGTTTCCTTGTCGCAGTTGCTTTTTCAGCCTCCTTTCACTTACATGGCCCACCTTCTCCCGTCTTTGACTCATTCTAATTGCTTTTCCTCGTAAAATTTAATTTCATTCTAAAACAACCGGCTTTATAACTTTGAAACCAATTTTGCTAAACTGTGTCTACTTATTTCATTTCAGTAACCGAAATTTTAACCTATTTTTTAAGAATGTTTTTCTCTCCTTTGTCTTATAGAGCTATTCACATCCTCTGGATTTGGTAGTATAACGCTTTCAGTTGATTTATATCGGCATGCTAGCAGTTATTTAGACAATTTGTAGATTTGTACTGTCCTTAATTGTTTCAGCTTAGTGCCTTTATAGTCTGCTGAATCATTCTTGATTATTTTGACATTTTATATTAAAAACAGTAGGATTTTATCAGTTATGGTTCTGTTTCTGGCTGGTTCAGAGGATCGCTAACTTGCGGTTCTTCTATTAGTGGGTCTTGCTCTTTGCTTGGCTATGGAATTGTTCGGATTTTTGCTCTTTCTTGTTTACTGCTATGCATCAGATTCCATGGCTCTTTAACTGCCATTGGAGCCAACTTCTCAAACTACCAGTTCACTGGCTTCATTTCTTTACGCTTTCTCACAAACCCTTTGTGACTGCTTTGTTTACCAATTGAATCGAAGTTTATTTTGCCTTCCTTAATGTAGGGCTTACAGTTAATTCAGTTATTATATATTATATTAGTTATATTAGTGTTTCTCGTTGAGTTATTAGTTTGCTTAATTGTTTGTTTGCTTGTTTTATTTCTCATCCCTTGTACTTGTTACGCTTAAGTACTTTATTTGTCCCGTTGTTGTAATATACCCTTGGTTTGATTGCTGATTTATAGGCGTTACTTAAACTTTTTTGGCTATTACTAATTATAGCTCTTTGCGTTAGTTTCTGTACAAAATAAACGTAGTTTGTTTAGTCACTCGACTTTTCTACTAATGCTATTTAGCTTTCCTGCTGTACTTACAATTTTAATTGATTTATCGTTTCCTCATTTTTTAGAACGTTTCCAACGGTGATTCACAGACAGTAGGTGGCGTTGAGGGCGCAGACCAAACTCAGAGTGATTTCAATCGAAGCAACCACTCCCACCACGAGCACTGGAATCGGTCCTCACTTATCATGCTTGCTGTAGCCCAGGCTTCGCCTCGCACCCACAATACTCCCTCGGCCTCCAACGGTACTGCTACCACACCCTCTCAACCTCATCCCGTGGCAAACGGTGGAAGTCGTTTCTCATTCAATGAATCGACGGGAAACGCAGCTGTTCCCTCATCTCCTAAGGCCTTCCCTGGTAAGTGGGTATTTCTCACCTTTTTTTGGGGGGGGGGGGCTTGTTAGTTCTTTCCAATATCGTGACTTCCTAGATGGCAAAGTGCTGATAATGATTGCCTATAAGGAACTGTGGAGTTATGAGTCTCCTTTACATCACGAATTTTTCTATATTTCTTCAATCCTAGTAAATCTAGTTTCTACCACCTTGCCTTTGTTTCAGACCCTTTGGGATGGCACAGAAGAGCAGATACTTCATGACATTTTATTAATCCACTGAATCGTCTTCATCTTGCGTGTATTGAAGATAGAAACACCGTCATTTATGTGTATGCTATGCGCCCACTTATTTGTAGGACCGATGGAATACCTAGAGCGGATCTACGAGAATTTATCATCCTTGAAGTATGTGGCTTTGAGATGTATTTTAATCCCCTTCCCCCTCTGTTCATTATCAGATTAGCAATAAGTTTTGAGGTTTTTTGCCGCTGACGAATTTCTTAAAGAGACTGCCAACCTCAATATCCCAACTGGAAGCACACATGACAAGTCAGGGGTCTTTTCATTGTGACAAGGTGGTTCCTTCCTCCTGCCCTTTGTAAGCCATGTGGCTCTTAGTCCACTTTGCCTCCTTACGCTAAAATCTCGCTCCGGTTCCCGATGTAGACATCACGTTAAGTGAAGTCTTTGCACTCTTTCTAAAGTACTTAGCTTTGATTTTCCCTAATCACTTTATACTACGGCCTGCTGCACAAGCCACCCTGAAGTTTGCAGTCGTCTTTCATTATGTACTTCTTAAATGCATGCTATTTAAAAAGTGGGTTGTAACTAATAGATATTTTATATTTTTGATGTACTTTTCTTCGCGAATAGTTTTTTCTATAAACGGGGAATTTAAAATCCGTATGTTCATTACATTTACGATTGCCAAGCTGAAGTTCACCACGCTAGAGCATGACTCTATTCTTATTGGATCGACTATGTCTTATTCTAAATTGTTTCAGTAAGCTCTATTACAATGCTCTTTCTCTTTGCTTCTAGGACGCCGTCTTACATCCAACGACGAGGGTGCAACGAGCATGGAATCTCAACTACCAAAAGTGGATGAAATTCCCTTAGTTAACTCAGACACAAGTCATGAAGAAGAGAATGGGGATAAAGCAGCAGCCCATGCAGTAGCAACTAATGGAGGCCTGGAAGAGATCACAAACTCACTTCACGACTCTGCCATTTCCACCACCAATGGTCATGCGGGAGAAGACATTCAAGCATTATCAAATGCATCTGCTGCTACTGCTGCTGCTGCTGCTGAAGTGGTAGCGCAGAAAGCTGTTACTGATGAGGTGGAGGTGATTCGAGATGGGCATTTCTTCCGTCGGCTGACCGATAAAATTGAACAGGAATTGAGGTTACGAGTAGAGGAGATAGAGAAAGACTTGAATGAAAATGAACTCTCTGATGAAGGTGAGTTCGCCCTTTAATATTATATTCGAAACTTTCGGCAATCTTATTACAGTTTATTTGAGCATTTTGAGTTGTTATTATTGACATAGGTGAATCATGTTCAACTAAAATGAAATCGAACACTTCAATTTTGTTAAAGTTTACCATTTAATTCTTTTACTAACCTCCTAAATATTGACCACTTAAATGCTATGCGCGGTGTTGACCTTGGAATTATTTCTACTGATAAATTTATAAGTAGCCAGTGAACTTTTTACAGATTGTTAATCCGCTGTTTCATTTATCCAGTGTCTGGCCACTTACGCACAACAGTGGGTAAAGTGAACCTTCTTCTCTCCCAAAAGTTTGTTCAATTCCGTGGACTTTGCGCGGATTGTATTGCAGCTTCCGAGAAGACGGCCTCTGGTGAAGAGGTCGAGTTTGTCACCCTTCCTAGTGATCTCGAGGGCTTCTGGGCTATGGTTATGCTTCAGGTGGACGATTTGCAATCGATGATTGCCTCTTGTAATCGTTTACGACAGAACGGCTGGAAACTTGACTATGATGCTGCCACCAATGGAAATGGAATCAATCATTCTACAGTGAGTATAAGTACTCTACTACTAAAAGGCCATGGTCGTTAGCATTCTAGTCTTGGGTGTAGAAAGTCTACAAAATTGTTTAAAAGTGGAATAAGACTTATCCATTCTGCATGCTCGAGCCTTTTTTGCATATGGATCTATATTCAGGAAACTCAGAAGTCATTTTCACTAGGTCACATAGTTGTATATTGTGGGAGTTACCAACGTAAACTAGTTAGTTGTGACTGAAAGCATTGGATTCAGGAGCTGTTTTCCTTGTGTTTGGACGTCTGCTGTGACGTAGGTCGTATTTTCCCATAATTTGTCCAAGATGGAAGCAATTCACAGATCTCTATGTTATATTGCAGATGTTTCAAAGCATGCAATTGTATATTTGAATTTGTCATTTATTTCTCTAACTCAATCGACTGTGTTCACACTCAAGTGACTTCCTTTTCTACCTCATTTAGCTGCCTCGTTTACTTCGAATTCTGTTAAATCACAATTCATGCCTAAGTTATCACTGTTCCTGTTTACTAAATATTGGGTTGGCAACTAAGTCATTGCCGTTTTTGTTGACGGATTCACTCTATACTTTCTTTTGTTTTGTTAACGTGGCCAGAGCATCTAACCTATATTTTTTTCTTACTGTATGGGCTTCTAGGTTAATTAGTAAAAAATTTTTTTGTTTAGTTCTTTAGTTTTGTTTTTATCCCAATTTAAAAATGAAAGAACAGGACGTGCACTTCCGACACATTGTATTTCTTCCGAAAAGGCAAGAACGCATCGTAAGCACAAAAGAAGTTATGTGCCGTATATGGAGATGAAGCCTTAAAAGAAAGGCAGTGTCGAAATTGGTTTGAAAGATTTCGTTCCGGTGATTTTTCACTGAAAAATTTACAACGATCTGGCCGCCCAGTCGAAGTGGATGAAACCCATATCAAGGCCATTATCGACTCAAATCGTCACATCACAACACGAGATATTGCAGAGAAGCTCAATGTGTGGCATACATGCATTGAAAAAAAAATTAAAAACCCTTGGTTATGTCAAGAAACTTGATTTATGGATCCCTCACCAGCAGTTAAAGGAAATTCATTTGACGCAACGGATTAGCATCTGTGATTCGCCGCTACTGAAACGCAATGAGAATGATCCATTTCTGAAGAACCTAGTTACTGGCGACGAAAAGTGGATAGTTTATAAGAATGTTACTCGCAAGAGATCATGGGTGAAGCAAGATCAACCAGCCCAAACAGTATCAAAAGCAGAGATTCACCAAAAAAGATTATGCTGTCAGTCTGGTGGGATCACAAATGAATTTTGTATTTTGAACTCATGCCGCAGAACCAAACGATAAATTCAAATGTGTATGTTGAAGAACTCGAAAAACTGAAGGATGCAATTGAAGATAAGCGGCCGGCATTATCAAATCGGTGGAAGGGTGTTGTTTTCCATCATGATAACGCAAGGCCCCCGCACACATCTTTGGTTACTGGGGCAAAATTATTGGAACTGGGTTGGGATGTTTTGTCACACCCACCATATAGCCCTGACCTTGCGCCTTCGGATTACCATTTGTTTCGTTCCATGCAAAACTCTTTAAATGGTAAAATTTGTAAAAACGCGGATGATGTCGGATCACACCTAATTCAGTTTTTTAATAGCGAAGACCAGACATTTTACGAACGGGGAATTTTTACTCTGCCAGAACGATGGAAAAAGGTCATCGACAAGAACGGCCAATATCTAATTGAATAAAGTTATATTTTTAAACAAAAATTCCGAATTTGCCTTCTTATTTGAAATCGGCAATGACTTAGTTGCCCACCCAATAGAGTGGAAATTTAGCAAATGCAGTGCCAGAGGAGGGTGTGGGGGGGGAGGGATTGCCTTGTGCCTAAGTTGCTTTTTTGGCGTCAGAAATTGAAATCATTTGAGTTAGATTTTGGTTAAATTGGAGGATTTTGGAATGAGAGTCACATTGTCTCACCTATTTTCACGCGTACGTACTTTTATCGACGTTGTTGGATGTGTATTGTGGGGAGGGGGGTTGGAGGGGGCTGTCGTGATTATTCTTCGGATTTATTGAATCAAATAGGTTATTTTTGATTCCCAAAAGTGCTGTTGATCTTAATCTCTCACTCCTAGAAAGTACCTTTATGTTGACGGAAGTTATGGCGCTTAACTAAAGTAATATTTGAAATACTTGGGGGAATGGGCCGTATATTATAAACACTTGAATCTCTCTTTAGGCACCATTTAATTATATTCGCAAAGCACACCCATTCAAACGAGTATATGCAGACACTTGTCTCTTATCCGTTGGCTTACCATTTCCGTTCCTCTTTCAGCCCGTGTCTGCTAAACGTCGCCATCCAAAACCCGTCAATTCTACGCCATCAAAGGAAGATAAGGCTGCAGCGTTAGCTCGTATCGAAGCCCGGGAACGTATTCGGGCCGTTAGACTCCAATACATGCGTGCACGTAAAGAAGAGCTTGCTGCAAATGGGTCTAAAGGTAGCAATGGACGCACTGGCGAGAGTGGCGATGACTCGTCATTCATGATTCTGTAAAGTGTGTTGTATTTCCACTTCCCTGCCTTACGTTCCTCCCCCTCCCCCCCCCCCCCCCCCCTCCCCCACACTCCCTCCGTGCATCTCAGCTTCTTTCCCTATTTATATTCCCCACTCCACCTCGATATAAACCTCCCCTGTCTCCAAAATGTCACAATCATTAAACTGGTTATAACAAAAAATGAAGACTTGGAATGCTGTATTGTTTACTACATTATGTAGGTTCAGCTATCTTTTGGCTGGCGTGTTTTAGTAAATTGTAAATTCTGTTATTGGTCATTTGGACTCTGTTTGATTTTCTGAAAAAAGGGGCACTTTGGATGCAAGAGAAGAGGACCGGAGGAGGAATTTTGAGTTCTGATACTGGCGATTCGGATCTTTACTCTTTGGTTTCTGATTACAATATAAACAGTTGAACCACCACGTTATTTTTTCATGGACAATCACAACTACTGAGGATTATATAAGTAGCTAATATATGTTTAAGATTTCGACCCGAATGCAAAGTAGTGACCATCTAAGGCGTTAATAATTTATTACCTGAATTCCAATTTGCTCATTCTGATCGTTTGTATGATATGAGTTTAGTTTTATTTATTTTGCTGGAATCCTGCGGTATGGAGTGTTTTTGCGTTAATCAATCTGTGCTGTACACCTTAGATGCTATTTGTGTGTGTATTTCTTCCGAATGTCCACCCAGGACGGTTGAATGGAAAATTCCTTTTCATGAAACTATTTTTTGAGATGGGTGGACTTTCGGAAAAACCCCCACAAATCTTATCTTATTATTTTATCATAATTATGGCGTTAGCATCTGTTGAGTTCCTTTTAAATTTTGTTGACGCAATTTTGTCGGGAAACGCGTTGCGGCCTACAGTGGTGTTTCTCGCATTTTTTTGAGGTCCATCCCGGAGTTGCCTATACATCAATCCCAACATAACAAATGTATTGAAGTTCCAAGGGAGGCTCATCTCGTTTATTAGCTAGAATGTTCTGGAAACCAAAATTGGTCGATCGACCAATCTTGAATTCTCAGCACCAATGTTAAAACTAAACCTCTAGGTAGATGTCAGTTCATATTTCTCTTCACCTCCACACCAATTCAGGTACGTCGATCATGCAATATCAGTTTAGATGTCACGTAATTTTAAAAACTCTTAAACTTGGTGTGGCGTGAAACATAATTCAACACATTCCTTTAAAATTTTTCTTCGAGCCACACATTGCCAATTTAGCAGACTGTCATATCTCTGCTATCTGACCTTTATCACCTCAGACAGCTGAATTGCCAACACCATAACGCCTCCAATTCGGATTTAAGAGTAATCGGATACGTTTATTCAACTTATACACAAAAGGACTGCATTTTCAGTGCCAAATAACCACAGCATTCAGCCGTAGCACTGCTAGGTAGTCAATCATAAGGCCATAGAAGTGCCCTTTGCACCTCAATTTCCTTCACTCTACTTGTTTTTCTTTGGAAAAGATACCCCCAATCAAAGGTAAAATATCAAGTTTAATTTAAGCTAGAAGAGGAATGTATCCATTTTTCCTTTCATTTGCTGTTACTCGTATGGGTTTTAAAAATCCTTTCTTCCACAGTAAAAGCAATTTTTATTGAAACTTTTTAGTTATTGCACCTCTGTTATACTGAGAAAGTAAATTGGTGACAATTTTGCAAGAATATTTGCTTTCTCAACTACTGGGAAAAAGTTAGAATTAAGTGTCAAGATTGTAGCGGAATGTTACACGAATGAGCCTTGACTTACCCTCTATTTCCATCTCCCCTCCCC